AGTCTGCTTTGGAAAAATAAGTTCCCCAAAAATGGCGAAGAATATGCGATGGGGCCTTTTTATACAAGAGACAAAAAATGTAGTAAATACTAGAGGGACCTTTTTTTACGAAAAGAAAATCTGTCGGCGGTATAGAAAATATTAAAATATTTATACTAAAATTTATATAGGGGTGGGAGGTGGGAGTAATTTTTACCCTTCCCGTACTTTTTCTTGATTTTTGTGAAAGTCAAAAAATGTTAAAGCACTTAGCAAAGCATAGACACCCTAAACCTCATTCAAATCGGAATAGCGGTTTTTAAAATATCTAAAAAAATGTGTTTATTTTTTTTTAAACTTGATGCCCAAACGAAGCACTTTTGTATAGAGGTAAATTGTGTCCAATGAACTTATTTTGATTTCAAAAATACGTAATTCTAAGTCGCAATATTGGGACACCCTGTAAACTCTCTCTCATAGTGGTTATAATGGTTCACTAACTACTGAAAAACACGTTATTCCTACAACTTCTCTCTTAAGTTTAGTGCATCTCTTATTTTATTATTTTCTAAACCCTTCTACAAAACTCCCTTAATGGTTTATTCGCAGTTTGTTACGTTACCGCGTCCGCGTAAATATACTTTTAGCAATCATTGATTAACCCTGTATAGTGCGGTTAAAAGTTGACTGACCGCACTATTATTAGCGGACAAATATTGATAATAGTTTCCGACATTTCGGTCGCGATTTAGACGCAGTTAAAAAATAACTTTTTTTCTTAAGAGACAATTAATCCATAAAAACCAAAAAATTTCGGTCAGATTACGACTTGGAGAAAGCTGCGACTAACAATATGTACATTTTGTAAGGTTTTTTCTATTAAAGTCTTTAGTAGTAAACAATCTGCAATGCTGTTTATAAAGCACCTTAAGATATACAGGGTGTTTCAAACAAATGCGAAAAACTTCAGGGGGTGATTCCTTGTTCAAAATAAAGGGTAGTTTGCTTTATAAACGTTGGGTCAAAAGTCAACCATTAGGGAGATATCGCGGTACAAAGATGGCGGAAAAATATTGTTTTTATTTTTTATCTTGAAAACGAAAAGAGATAGAGACTAATGAAATTTTACGGAAGAATTACTGTTATGAAAATACACTTTCTGGTAATTTTTTCACTTTTTTAAAATGAGTGGAAGGGGTTGAAATAAACTACCCCTATCATTCTTGTTAATGAAATTTAAAGAAAAATCTTATCAAACACATGCAAAAAAAATATTTTTGATAGTTTAGTTTATTTAGAAACTTTTTTATCTCTTGTATTTTTTTGATAAAACTCACCGATTTGAAATTAAAAAATAAAATGTAAAGCATTACATGTCAGGACAAAAAACATTTTTGAGTTGAATTTGCAGTTAATTCCAATCGCAAATGGCAAGTGCACGGGTTACATGTGCACATGAGCCACCTTAATATATCGATATAATAAATATAATCGAACACCGCTAGAGTGTCTATTTGATAAAGATTGCCTCAAAAGGACAGTGAAATTTCCTAAAGACATTATGATTTGAAGGTGTATGTCCAAAATAGGCCCAGAAAAGTATAAGGTGGTAGAAAGCATAATTGATGCGTCAAAAAATCAAAAAAACTTTGAAAAATATTCTTGTGTCAAGTGGAAAGGACAAAGGTCCTTGTAACCATTTGTTCTGGTAAAGACCAGGACAATAATTTTATATTTCAACAGGATGGCGGGGCATGCCATACAGCTAAAACTAGTAAAAATGGTTTAGGGACATGAACATCAAGGTTGCCTCATGGCCTTTGCACAGTCCGGACCTTAATGTTATCGAGACATGTGACATAAAACAAAACAAAAATTGTGCCACCATCCCCAAGAAACCATTGCCCATTTGACGATGGTATTAAGTGGATTATGGCAAAATTTTTATTCTGGCGTATGTCAACCATTAATAAAAACAATGCCAAACAGGCTTGCAGTGGTTGCAAAAGTTCATGCCGATGTAACGCCATATTAGAACAGTTATTTTTCAGTGTCCGAACATTTAGTTGTCACGATTTTGTGCAATCTTTTTGTTTATTTATTGGCCTACAGTTTATTTTAATGTTTATAGAAACTAAACTATTTAAATACTCATTAGAAATGTTGGATTTTAATATATTTTAAAAGTATTTCTTAAATGTAAATAATTCAGTTAATGAAAGTAAAAAAAAATAATAAATTTTTGTTTGTCCGAACATTTAGTTGTTAGGGCTCGTAAATTTACACTACAAGATTTAGCTCTGCGATCCATTCTATAGCATCCAGGTCAGCCTCATGAAGACGATTTAAAGAGAACTGCGCCTTTGTTAATGGGCACTCTGTTGCGATATGAAAAGGTGTATGTTCAGAATGTCCGCAATCGCAGTTAGGACAGTCGGTTAGTCCCCATTTGTGTGTCCAGAAGCGGGTTCTGCCATGGTTAGTTCTGAACCGATTGAGTGTTGTCCACGTTTTTCTTGGCAAATTGAATCCGGGAGGGCAGAGTACTGGGTCAGTTATCAAGTGATGAAGGTCAGGATTATTTTGTGACCATTCACGCCAGCAGTCTTCAGCCCGAAAGTTGGAATTTAGTAGCTGCTGCCCTAATACCCATGGCGGTTTTCTGGACTTCAGGCGATTCAAGAAATTTTCGCAATCATCATGGGTGGGAAGATGAACATTGCAAATAAATACGACATAAACCTGCTTTGGGTTCCAGGCTACAGGAACATCGAAGGGAACCTTCAAGCACTTGCAGGACGGTCAAGAAAACTTGGCCCAAACTAGGGCCGCCTGTCTTCTCAAATGAGGGGGAGTAATATTTGATAATAGGGGGAGCCACTGGATCGGAGTGCTTCTGATACTGCCCGTTATAATTCTCATCGCGCTGTTAAGACGAGTGAAGAAGAATGAATCAATAAGATGAGTATGATCCATGTACCAGACAGGGCAGCGATATTCTGCCACCGAATATGCGAGGGCCATTGCAGTTGTTTTAAGTTCCCTGGCGTTTGCTCCCCAGCTGTTACCGATCTTGTGCAGTATATTATTTCTAGCTACCTTAAGATCAAAAACTGTTATTATCATATCATACATGAAAAAATCATATAATACCTGTGTTATTTCATATACCGGGTGCATCTCAAAAGTGGCTCACCCCTATACTTTTTTTATTTTTTCAGATAAAACAACGAGATTTGATTTCCGATTAGGATTGATTGACATAGTCAATTATTTTCGGCCAGTTCCGATTTTAAAAATTGTAACATGCGGTTCATAAACTATGGTTCATAACGACAATTTGACTCGAAATACAATGTGTGTGGTATCAAATTATTCGTAAAAAAATGCTTTTTCCAAATATTCTAATGAGCCATCCTCGTTCCATTTGAAAAAATTGATATATTGATGAATTGAGATATTATTAAAAATACGATTTGGGCATCTTTTAATCGGCCAGGACAAGACACTAAAAACATGAGACGATCAAATCTATTTTCCCAAGGCTCCTTGATTAAAAATTAATGTTTTAAACACAGCCTAGATTCAAATTTAAAATATAATTTGTTATTGAACGATTATGTCAAAAGTTGACATATGATATGTCATTCGATTCAGAGTGTCATTTTCTATTGAATAAAGTAAAAAAATGCGAGGGGTGCCGCGCCGTTTAAAAATTAAAAGTTGTAGTCATTTCCGGTCAAACAGGAAGTGACGGAAAACTATTGAATACGTCAACCAATCCCTAATTTATGTCATATACTAACATACCAAATCTCGTTTCTTTATTTGTATCTATTTTTTTACTTCCCCTAGGAGATGGCAGACCTTGTTGTTGGTGGGGAAGCTCCTGGTCAGGTGCTGGGGGAATCCCCCCTAGCACTTGGCTTGGTCTAAGAAGCATCTCACTCATCGTCTTGTCCCTGACTGTAGTGTCGTGGCCAGGGAATTGCACCAAGACATATAACGATACCGGGCGAGGCTACGGACAGCCTCAACCTTGGGGCATCGGAGGCCACCCCATTGTATTTTACCCCTTACTTCTACATGCGGGGCTCTGTAGAAGTGGACCGACTGTCCCTAGCGACTCATGGGAACACTATGAGATCTGGTAATAATAGTAATAAAAACATCACCGGTGAAGCTGTGGGGAAACCCCCTAGCGACACTGGGAACAGTAACAATGAAAGTCCCAAGGAGCCAAACCCTAAGAGAACTACAGGAGAGGTGGCTGACACTTGCGTGAGACCATCCTGCAAGTGGCATACAAGCTACCACCTCCTCCAGGGGTCGGGAGCCTACCTCCTACCTCTAAACCCAACAGGCGACACAAGCTACCGTTTCGTCTACCCGGTCTGGGTCGTAGCTCCTCGACTGTGAAGGACACGGGTCTCCGTAGGAAGTCCTGGGACTGTATGATGAGTTATAACTCAAGAAAGGGGGACACAATAGATCTCTAAGGTCGCAGAGATTAACCCCCCTCCCACTTATTCTAAATTCTAATCTATTTTTTTAATATGGAAAATCAATATTATTCCGAAATTTTATCTACTTTTTATAACTCTGAAAATGAGACTCTGTATAAAGCAGCATTGCGGCGAATTTAAGGGACTTAACCTTTTCTTCTTTTATTTAATATACGTTTTGGCTGAAAAGCATACATAAAATAATGGAAACTAGCCAAAGAAAGTTATGGGAGCAGTTCTGTAATGATACTTTACTTGATTTGCCGCTCTCCTTTTTCACGGAATAATAAAAACCGTACTATAACCGCGATATTAACTATGATATATGTCCAAATAAAATTAATCAGTAAATTTTTAATTATATCTATTATTATTAAGCTAATCAATGAAATAGGTAATGGACGTTATTATAATTTTCAAGTTTATATTTTCTTACAGTTTTCAATAATTATTAAAAACAATTACATATATTATTGTTACAAATTCCAATTTCTAATTGTTTATTTTCTCTTGCAGGAAAGCGAATCCAAGAATGTATATGCGTGGCAATGTGTCTAACCCTTATGGCTGTTAATTTAGTTTTTATACTTTTCCATATTAGAATCGAAAGGCTCAGTTTCGTCCTCGTTGTTGCATTTTTTGGAATCGTAACTGCCGACTTCTGTTCCGGTTTCGTCCATTGGGCGGCAGATACGTGGGGATCAGTCGAGTTACCGGTGATAGGAAAGGTACGCTTTAAACTACAACTCGTCAAATATAGGATGATATTTGACGACTTTGTCGTGAGTGAGAACCACAGATAATGAATTTGGTGCGAACTAAGAGTATGACTGAGGGGGAGATGAATAATTTCGAATATCTCACAAACACGACCCAGAACAGCATACAGGGTGGTCCGAAATGTTGTTCATATCATATCGAAATGTGGTCTGAAATTCGGGAAACTTCGGCAGCGTATTCTGCAGATAAAAATAAGTAAAAAAGTTCGTAAAAAGTTATATCCTAAAAGTTAATGATGATATGTAATGATAATTTACACTTCAATTATCTTAGAACGGTTACTCGCAGCGATTTTTATCAAGAGTCATTTTATACGTAAACAATGACAAATATAGGGAAATTAAAATCACTTTCGTTGCACATCATACTACGACCACCCGCAAACTCCATAAGACGACGCATGGTGTCATTGATGACATGCAACGAAAGTCGTTCCAATTTCCCTATATGTATATTCTTTCATATTGTAGTTTTATACAGGTACAAACCAAAAGTTATTACTCTTCAAAGCAGTTATGTAGGTGGCGCCAAAAGGGTCATATTGACATCAAAATCAAATTTTGTCATGTCAAAAAACTCCCAGACAACCAATTTTTATCCAAAGATCGACGTTACTTCAGAAACGATTTGGAAAAAATCGAAATAAAAATGAATCTTCTACACCCTGTATCTCCAAAACTAAGCATTTTAGGACATACATTTATAGATTACAGTTGGGGGTTGGAACCTTTGGTGTTACACAGCAAAATAAAACACTAAATCATCACAATACACCAAAACACTTTTACTTTTAACAGGACGCGCGTTTCGCTAACCATGTTAGCATCATCAGCAGATGATTAAGACTAATCTAAAAAGCACAATTTAAGCGTTTATATATACTGGCTCAGTGGGTACCGAGTGCGCGTGGCAAGATCTAGCCAGATGAGTCAGAGCCCACCGAGCGTAACAGTTGGATTACCGCCACTAGAGTAGTAGGAACAAAGAACTTGAAGGAATTCCGTTGTCTCTGGTCTTACTATCTTTACATTTATTAATTCTGATGCTTTAATATGCATCTAATTGCCTGTAATTTGAGACTTGTTTAATTAAATTTAAATTATTAAGATCTATACAATGTTCTTTCTCATTCACCAACGCAAGATTTATCCGGTCAACCATATCTTATCAGAGCTAAATGTTCTTTAAATCTAATTAATATTGATCTTCTAGTTTACCCAACATATTTCTGATTACAATCTTTACAAGAAATTTCATAAATACCCGACCTTTCCATTGGAGGTGTTTTATCCTTTGGATTACCTAATAATTGTTGTAATTTATTATTAGCACTATACACAAGTTTATAGTTGACGTTCTTAAAAATTCTTTTTAGACCACGGCATAACTCTCTATCAAACGGTATTGAAAAAATTTTGACATTTGATTTGTATATTTCTCCACTTGACAAGTCGAATTTTCAGAAATCATTAACCTATACCTACGTTTTCTAATTAGTTTATCAACTAGTGAAGGAGAATATCCATTACACTCAGCTACATTCCTAATGTAATCTCTTTCTATTTTATATCTTTCGTTGGTAAGTGGAATACTAAGTAATCGAGGAACTAAGAAATTTAAACTAGCCATTTTATGTTCAACACTATTATATGATTCATTAGGAATATATCTGCGCGTAGTAGTATTTTTCCTATAGATATCAAATTCCAGGCAATTATTAGTATTTCTAATAACTAATACATCTAGAAATGGTAATTTGTTGTTGTTCTCAATTTCATGTGTAAATTTAATGGAAGGGAAACGATTATTTAACTTAGAAATAAAACTATCTATGGTGTCTGAATGTGTGTCAAGAACAGGAAAAATATCATCCATATACCTAAACCATACTCTTGGAAAATACTCAAACTGATTTTTAGCCTCCACTTCAAACCTGCTCATGAATAAATTAGCCAAAAATGGAGACAATGGATTACCCATTGCTGTACCTTCCCGCTGTTCAAAAAAATTGTTATTAAATTGAAAACAATTTTGTTTCATATGTAACGATGTAAGCTCATCATATTCAATCACAGTTTTGTTGTCGAGACCATTTTCGTAAAGTATATATTTATACGAATATTTTATCTATTTTTATCTGCAAAATATGCCTGAATGCTAGAAGAATATGCTATATGAATACAACCCAATGAGCAAAGTTTTGTCACATTCAGGGAACAGTTAGGTATCTGCATTTTATTGCTTTATATCAGGCAAAAGATGGGCCTGGTAACGTAACAACCACGTCACCTAGAACACATTTCCCTTAAAGGAATAAAATGCTCACTGGGAGTTCGGTCCACCCTGTATAATATGTATTTTTCTTTTCATATATGAATATTTTTTTTATTTAGAATTTCTCAAATTTACTAAATCAATCTTTGTAAATTTTCTGTTACAGAATTTTCTTCGACCATTCAGAGAACATCATATCGATCCCACCTCCATAACTAGGCATGACTTCATTGAAACCAACGGTGATAACTTTATGGTGACCATTCCATTTTTAAGTCGCATGGTATGGGACTTTATTGCACTCACAGAAGAAGACGTGCAGAAGAAATTTGCTTGGAACTGTTATGTGTTCCTTTTGGCAATTTTTGTCGCTATGACTAACCAAGTAATGTATTCATATTATGTGATCATATTTTTAAAATATAAAATATGTGGCTATTGCTTTTATTATTGTGCACATTGCCTGTCCACATATACCCATAAAATATATTGTTTCTATATCTTTCCGTTTTCGTAAAATCAATCGACGCGAATGAGGTGCGCCACCTTGTATACAATATGGCTTAAAAAGAACAAACTGTTCCTTTTTTATAATGGCAATAACTTTCAAGAACAACAGTGTCTGAATATATAAATAATAAAATAAAATATTTTGCCCCGGTCAAGATTCGAACACAGGTCTCGCGCTCCATAGTCGGAACCTCTGACACCTCTCCACGAAGACCTGCTTGACCAGTACTTAACAACGGTATAATAATAAATAATAAAAAAAAAATATAGCTTCATTACAAGCTCCTAAATTGCTACCCTCTTTTTCTAGATCCACAAATGGTCCCACACATACTTTGGCCTTCCGTCTTGGGTGGTGTTCCTACAAGAGTACCATATAATACTACCCCGTCGCCACCACAGAATTCACCACGTGGCGCCGCACGAAACGTACTTCTGTATTACGACAGGCTGGCTGAATTGGCCACTGGAAAAACTACGGTTCTGGAGCGGCCTGGAAGTAGTAATCGAAGCAGTGACTGGTTTCAAACCCAGAGCCGATGATCTCAAATGGGCGGAAAAACGCAAGTGAACAGTGCAAATCGGTATTAGTTCAAAAGTGTTCGTACGATACCTGTGCGGTGTCAATTAATGGGTCCAAAGAAGCTTTTTAATGTGAATCGAAGTAGATATGTATATTTGACCAAAGAAAAAATATATGTTATATTAAAGGGCAGAATATAAATGTATAATCCTATATGAATCTATATCATTTTTATTTTTAGAAGTAAGGGAAATTAAAACAATTTCCGTTGCACGTCATCAATGACACCATGCGTCGTCTTATGGAGTTTGCTGGTGGTCGTATTATGATGTGCAATTAATTCAATTTTCCACCGTCATTTACAGATATCGAAATATAATGTCACCGAATGACTGTATTTCTTGTATACTATACCAATACCGCCGACGGTTGTTTAGCTAGTGCGGAAAAGCAACTATATATTCCGCTCTTTAATTAATTACAAACCGTGAAACACCGTAGAATAAGCGTTTCGTGGCAGTGTTATGTTTAATGATATAATGAACTAATGACGGATGACTATTTTCAGTAACGTACCATTTATAATATTTTTTTGTGATATTTTATATAAGCTCTTCAGCAATACATTCTATGTTTCAGTAATAATATAAAAATCACTACATAATAAGTTTAGTATTGTTTATATCTTGTAGCGTGTTAATCTATGCAAATTCTATGGTTTGTTAAAACTAAATCTACAGAAGAGTTCTTAAAATTAAATAATATCTACAATATTGTGATAAAATGAAAATAGAATATACCGTGTAGTGCATCGGAACAGGGGACATAGGAAATCTCATGTAAATTTTGAAAAGGTTAACTATTATCTTTCCAGATTATTTTATAAAGATAAATGTAGCAGTTTATCAATCTGCGCACCTATGATTGATGATGAATTATTTCGTGGTCGAAGATTATTTTATAATGAAGCTTGTGAAACTAATATTTTTGTATTGATAAACCGTAAAAATATTACATTTTTCTACCGAGATACACGCCATATATATGTAGGTATTTTTAATACGAGTATATAAGTATAATATGAATAATAGGTATTTTTAATTTAGACAATCTAAGTTTAGACATAGTTTTCTACAGGAAAATCGTTAAATGTAAACAGAGTGGGCCCAATGTCCCGCAAAAGCTGACTATCGGGGTTTTCTTTTTATTCACTCCAATCCTGCTTGGAAAATATGCGGGTAATCATAGAGCACAATTTAAATAGTATATTAAACAACGAGTTTCGAAAACGACGTTTTGCACACGAGTTCGATAGTTTGTTGGCTCGAGCCGCAGGCAAAAACCACAAGTCGAACGAGTGTACAAAGAAGTTTTTGAACGAGTTTTTTACGATATTTTTTCTACGACTACAAATTAGCGGCAGACTCACTCAGTTTTTGCCAGTTTTGTGAAATAATTTGCGATGTAATAACACTTTTCTGACGGCTGCGTTGCGTTTGGCGTTTCAGCTAAACATTGGAGGTTAAAAGTGTTAAAGTTGGCACATGTCGTGTGCAAAATGACACGTGTCGTGCGCTAAATCCTTAGCACACAACAGTTTGCAAAACGCCAATTTCAGATCGAGTTTTCCGTGTATCATACTGCATTCTCTAGGCTAGTCGTAGAAAAAATATGTTCACGGAATGACAATCATACCTTATCAAATTGTGAAAAAATATTGTTATTGATAGTTAGTGTAAACAAAGCAAAACCAGGACGATTCAAATTTATATTACATAGAAATTATATTACAGATTCTTATTTGTTGCCGTATAGCAACATGCAGTTTTGGTCATTGTATAAGTAGTGTGGTCTGTATTTTAACGTGTAAGACAGTGATGGATACAACTTAATGAAAAATTAAATGTATTAAAAAGAGGAAAAAATTGGGGTTGTACATTTCTTCTATGCGGCATTGCCGGATTTTGCATCAAAATTTCAAACAGCCCAAGCGGGTAAAAAAAGATGTTGCATCTAGGGGTGAATCTTTAATTTCTACAATTAGTTACTCATTTTACTGCAGCTGTAATAGATTCTTATTAAGCCTGGGTCTCAGAACTACGTTGTGTCACTGGTGAAACTACAAAAACAATTATAGTTGTTAGTATAATAACTAAAGTCAAAATTGACAGCTGTTTGAATTCAGTTACAATTCTATTGGCGTGTAGCTCGGTGACACTGGGTAGTTTTAGAACGAAATTTTACACGTTAAAATACAATTACTAGCACTATTTATGAACTTATCTGAACGAACAAATTAATATTTATTTCTATGGTATTTGAAAAGAGTGACTGGGGATATTATATTCCAAGTTCTCAAGGAACAGAATTGAGCATTATTAAATAGATGAGATATATATTATCTTCAATTATTATGCAATTTCACGTACGAACCGGCAACACTGTACGTCGTTTCTTTTTCTGTCAACTAGTCGTATATACAAACAACGAAAATAAAGTGACCAGAGCTATATATAACGCTAGTCCTTGATGAATGAGAAAGACAAATATATGACAATCATACCTTGCCAAATTGTGAAAACGCATTGTTATATAAACTTAGCGTAAAGAAAACTATATCAGGACGACTCAAATACAATTTTGTGGATTATGAAATGATATTTTTTCCCTTCGTAAAAATTTTGTTTCAAAATTACTACAATGTTATATTTACCGAGTGGTTTTTAACATATTTTTGTATTAAACTTTCGTCTATACACACTCTCAAAATTGATAAGGTGTAAATTATAGATGCATTTATGATAAGTTAATTTGCAACAAAAATTGAACATTAAGTGGAGTCGTAATAAATTTTACAATTAAATTCCTCACAAATTAACAAATTCGATTTATTTTGTGATGAAGAAGTTAAAATGGACATCTAGTATGTACACTTGGTAAATATTGGTTTTGGTTTTCTTCGATTATTATGTTATTTCACGTACGAACCGGCAACACTGTACGCCGTTTTTTATTTTCCCTCTCTGTCATTTGGTCGTACATACAGATCACGGAAATAAAGTAAAAAGTGATCAGAGCTCGGACCAGAGCCATATATAGCGCTAGTTCCTGATGCGTGAGAAAGACAGATATATGTCAATCATACCTTGTAAAATTGTGAAAAAGCATTGTTATTTAAACCTAAAAGTGTAAACAAAGCAGTATCAGGACGACTCAAATACAATTTTCCACTAATCTTATTAAAAATTTCACTTCAAAATTAAAACTATGTTATATTTACCGAGTGGTTTTTAACATATTTTTGCATTAAACTTCCGTCTATACACACTCTCAAAATTGATAAGTTGTAAAATATAGATGCATTTATGGGAAGTTAATCTGCAACAAAATTGAACATTAGGTGGAGTCATAATTAATTTTACAATTAAATTTCTCACAAATTAATAAATTCGATTTATTTTGTGATGAAGCAGCTAAAATAAGCATCTAGTATTTATACTTGATATAAATATTGGTTTTGGTTTTCTTCGATTATTATGTTATTTCACGTACGAACCGGCAACACCGTACGCCGTTTTTTATTTTCCCTCTCTGTTTGTCAATTGGTCGTACATACAGATCACGGAAATAAAGTAAAAGGTGATCAGAGCTCGGACCAGAAGCATATATAGCGCTAGTCCCTCATGCGTGAGAAAGACGGATATATGACAATCACACCTTGTCAAATTGTGAAAAAGCATTGTTATTTAAACTTAAAAGTGTAAACAAAGCAGTATCAGGACGACTCAAATACAATTTTCCACTAATCTTATTAAAAATTTAATTTCAAAATTTGAACTATGTTATATTTACCGAGTGGTTTTTAACATATTTTTGAATTAAACTTTCGTCTATACAATTAAATTTCTCATAAATTAATAAATTCGATTTCTTTTGTGATGAAGCAGCTAAAATAAATATATAGTATTTACACTTGGTAAATAAATATTGGTTTTGGTCTTCTTCGATTATTATGTACTCTTTGTCAACTGGTCGTACATACAGACCATGGAAATAAAGTCACCAGAGCCATATATTGTGCTAGTTCTTGATGCGTGAGAAAGACAAGTATATGATAATCATACCTTGTCAAAATGTCAAGAGAAGCATTGTTATTTAAACTTAAAGTGTAAACAAAGCCATATCAGGACTACTCAAATACAATTTTTCACTAATCTTGTGGATTTTTTAGTGAAATGTTGTTTTTTCTCTTAGTTAAACTTTCGTCTATACACACTCTCAAAATTGATAAGTTGTAAATTATAGATGCAGTTATGAGAAGTTAGTTTGCAACAAAAATTGGACATTAGGTGGAGAAAGAATTAATTTTACAATTGAATAGAGCAAATTTTGCAACTCTTCTCCACTTAGTACTACTGTGGATATTGCTTAATTCCATTTTATACCACATAAATTGGCGTCTAAAGTATCTAAATCTGTACTTAGAAAAAAAGTCACTTGTACCCCAGTGACTTTTTTCTTACTTAAGTCCATTTAAAACAAAAAGTCACTTGTACCCCTTTCATTCTAAGCCCCTCAATTAAAATTTTAATAAATACGATTTATTTTGTGATGATGCAGCTAAAATATAATAGCTCTTAAAGCCTAAAAGGCTCATGGCTTGATTGGTTATCTTTCCCCATTTGTTTCTGTCTTTCGCCTTTCTTCTCCACCCATCTACTCTTATCCTTCTCAAGTCCTCTTCAACATCCTTTTTCTATCTGGTCCTCGGTCTACCCTTCCTTATCTTTCAACCTATTTCACGTTTCATTATCATAGTAGGAACTCTTGCTTCAGACATCCTTTCAATGTGTCCCAGTCGGCACTTTTCCAAAAATTCCCTAGTTTTTTATTCTGAGAGCTACAGATGTTCGACGCACAACTGCCGGATTCTGTATAACTTCTGTTATAGGAATACTTCAATCACTTTGTAGATGTATTAAAAATAATAATGTGCGCTATCATTACCGGCATAAAAAAAAGGAAACCTGTTAGAGCTTCTTTGGAACATTGGATCATCCTGTATCGTGGCCTTAAATTATCGCAATGTGATTCTACGACTATATACGTATAGTCGGACGCTATTTTTATCACTGAACAATAAAATATTAGGCACAATTTTGTGTTTTTTTAGACTGAAATTTCCCACCTTTTCCGCAATATTAATTATAGTT